ATTGACTCAGATCTTGGGTGGATGGGACTTAAAAGTGCTCCAGGGAACTCTGAAAGGAAAGTGGGAGTGTGGGCTGAGGCCTGCAGGATTGCCAAGGGCTGGATTCTGCCCCCTCAGCTTCCTGGATTCTGTAAATATCCCAAACTGGTCCTCCCAGTTCTAGCAAGGAAACACAAATGAACACACACACACACACACACACACACACACACACACTATATGTTGCTAGTCACTGAGGTCACAAAATCTACTTCTGAAAGGATCTAGGTACTATAATTCAGCTTCTCTAGCCCAGAAAGACCAGGAGATGGAACATGTCACAGGAAAGCCTGGCAGGTCACCACTCATGCTCACATCCCAATTTTCTTTAATCTTCAAAGTGACTCCCATATTAGGGAATGAAAGAGCTCAGTTCATCATCAGAGCACTCTACAGTCCCCTTAAGAATTCTCAGGGACCCCTTCAGTTAGAGCCTAACCTAGAAGGTCAGTTTCATACCTGAGCCCCCTTGCCATAATGGGTCCTGAGAGGTAAACAGGGCTGGAGTGGGTTGGAGTAGGGTCAGGACATATTTTGGCACCAAGCCACCCCCGTCCTACTCTAATCTTCAGTCATATCTGTCTGGGGGAACAAAATTATTGGTAATGACCAGCTATCCTTGCTGCCAGGAAGAGGAGACTCCTCTAGCCCTTGCAACAAGGTCAGAGAAACACCTCAGGTCCTCTGCCCAATGCCCAGGAAGAAGGTAGTGGTATCCGAGATGTGACAAAGCCTTTGAGGCTCAGAGGAGCCTTTCTAGAAGAGAAGACAAAACTGAGTAGCTCTGGATTAAGAGATAAGACACCAAAGAGCCAATTCTCCCTGGGGTGGGGGCAAGTCCTTGGGCTGGGACAGCCTTTTACATATATGCAAGAAAGGCACTCCTGAGGGCCCCCTGACCTGGGAACTTTTAGCCTGGCCCAAGGCACTGTCAGGCTCCCCCCACCAACCAGGGCCAGGAGCTTCCTCCTAGACTTGGAGGAAATGAGCAAGGCTTTCTCAGACCTGCAAGCTCTGAAATGGTTTAAAAAGGGAGTCCCCAGGGAACTCTAGGTTCAGTAGGTTGTTGGGGGCAGAGTCCCTGTGAGAGTGGGCCCTCTTCTATACACAACCAGGGAGGGTGCAGGGTGTGCAGGGATGATGGACCAGTGTTCCAGAATGGGAGGGCAGAGGTCACTTGGCTGTGTCCTGTCCTCTGCTTGACAACTGTACACAGGAAACAGCAGTGGGTAAGCAACCTCTCCCTCTTATTTCTGCCCTATAGCCTGGGACAGTGATGCCTGGGTTTTGGGCCATCTCTCCCTTTTGGAAGGCTAGCAAGGTAGGCCTGAGTTATGTCTGGGCTTCTGGTGCACCAGCTTAAAGTACTAGGGGAGGAACCAGTTGTTGACATTTCCTGTGAGGAGGAGCCTTGCTCCCCCCTTCCTCAGCTCTCTGATGTTCCTGCCCCATCCTATTCACAGTCCCTCTTCCTCCAGCCTTCTATTCTGGGTCTGTGGTCACAGTTTATATTTGGGACAAGCACATCACAGTGCATCTGACCATTCCTGGAAAAGCTGCCAGCTCCAGGGAGTCCTGGTTCCAGACACTGTGGTAACTTAGCTTGAAGGTTCCCAAAGGCTCTTAGTGGGGGACGGGACAGTCTTCAGTACTCCAGGTGGAGATCCTGAAAGGGGACAGACCAGGAAGCAGAGTTGCATGTGAGGGACTTAACATTCTTCCATGCAACTCATGTCCTTAGCTAAGGAAAAGAGAAAAGTTCAGGGCACCTGGTAGGTTGGGAACTTGGTCTTATTTTTTCCTTTTTCTGTGGTGATAGAGATCAAACCCAGATTCCTATTGTATGCTAAACACATGCAGGAGATCAGGTATCTAAATGAAGGGGGAGAAGGGATGGTTCTGAACCTCTTTCCTGCAGCTGACCTCCCAGGCCTAACCCTGGTTGTGAAGAGGAGTGTCAGAGCTAGGTCCTGCTCCAGAATGGGAGAATGGTAAGAATACTATACTCTAGTAGTCCAGCCTTGTTTCTGAAGTAGTTCCAGGATGAAGAACCACCTCATTTCTGTACCCCTTTTTCCCTATCCCACCTACTGAATGGCAGGTGGGCTCTGGCTGGACATACTTCTAGGCCCACTTCAGTCTGCTCCTGTGAATAGGGCAGGACAAGATGGGGATGCATGAAAACTCCGGAGGTGGGCAGTATGCTGCATCCTTCCAGCTGTGGCCTTGAAGCTGGGCTCCGCAGGGACACGTGCCACTCCCCAGACGATAGTCTCCCCACCCCTCCCGCGGCCGCTGGGAGGCGGGGCTGGCCGAGGCTCCAGGAATGCAGGCCTGGGGGCCTGGCGCCCAGGGCACATTCCAGGGAAGACCCCGGGCCCAGGGGGCATGTTTGCGCAACTCGGTGTCCTGCTGAGGCACCCCACCAACTCCCACGGGCGTTTCCTAACTACTCAGAACCGATCCACTGGCGGGGAACCCCAGGGGATGAAAGGGCGCCTCCCGGAGTCTTGGCCCGGAAACAGCGCGCCGGAAGGGCTGCCTGAGGGGGTCTGTGGGCTGCGAGCCCAAGTGCGGGGAGGTCTGGCCGGCCATCTGGAAAAGGGCCTCTCCAGTACTGTGCAAAGTCGGCCTTGGGGCCGGTGCAAACTAGGGCAGGACGGAGGTTTAAAATTAGCCGGGACCGCCCCCTCCCTTCCAGGCGCGGGCCACAAGCCGCGGGTGTACGCGGGGGTGGGGAGGCGGTGACTCAAAGGGCTTTTCCACTTTGTGCAGCCTCCCGCGTTCCGCGTAACCCGGGCCTGGTCGCTTCCCGTGGACTCCTCTCACCCGGCAGTCTCTTCTTGGCCGGTACACCCAGCCTCCAGATACCACTTCACCTCTAGTGGCCCGCCCTGGATCCGTCCCTCCTCCTGATACACCGCACCCCTCTCACCTGAAGCAGGTGGAAGCTGGTCCCTCCCTAGCTCCGCCTCCTGGGTCTGTTACAGCCCTAACAATTACTGACACTCAGCCCAGGACAGCCACCCTGGCAGACCCGCAGCAAAAGGGCACCGTGCACCTCTTTAGGTGGGCCTCACTTCGAGGGGAAGCCAAGACAATGCAGACCACAAGCTGATAGTCTCCGCCGCCCGCAGGCGTGAACCCTGGGATCCCAGTTCAAGTTTTTTCCTGAGTACACGCTCCAGCCTCTTCTTGAGAGGCACCTCCCATCGGGTTTCAGGGCGCGGACTCTGAACTCCCTATCGCCCCAACTTTTCTCCGCGCCCCTCTCACCTTGAGTGGCGCCCCTAGCAGCCGGTGCAGCGCAGGTATTTGAGCACCCAGGGGCAAGGCCCCGTCCAGGCTGCAGGTAGGGGCCCGTCGTGGCTCCGGGAAGTTGGCACATGCAAAGGGGTCGGTGTCTTCCAGGTACTGCACCCTCACGGTCACCACTGATACTGGCTCCCCGTCCCCGCGGTCTTCCCCGCCTGCCATGGTTCTGCCACGGGCTCGCACCGCGCGCGCGCCTCGGTGTTTCTGACCCGCAGCAGCTTCCACTCGTCTAGCCCTGCTGCTTGGGCTGGGCCGGACCGGACGCGGTGGGGGGCGGAGCCAGACGGAGGCGGGGCCGAGGAGGGGGTGGGACTAAGACTGGGCCCCAAATGCGCGCAGGGGGTAACCACTGCCAGGGGCGGGGCTTGCACCAACCACTCAAAAAACCCGATAGTGATCCCGTTAGTTCCCTGACTCTGAGGGCGGGAAAACCCGAGCTGGCGCCCCGCCTTGGAGAGCGCAGAGGCTGGGAAGGCTTTCTTTGGGCTTGGGGTAGGTGAGGCTGCTCTTCTTTGCGGGATGCTAGGGCAGGTGGGGCAAAAGTTCCTTCACATAGTGGCCGACCAGGTCTCCCTAAGTTTAGGGATGAGATGGCCCTGATTCCTTCAGTTTGAGTGTTACTATTTCCATCACTTGGCGAAAAAGCAGTTGAGAAGGGTTTCTTTCAGTTTGGAGCAAGAAGTAAAAATAGATTTCGGCTATTTGAAGGAAGAAGTGGAATCGGTTCCCTTTAGTTGTGGGAAGAAGAAGGACGAGTGCCCTTTCTCTAAAAAAGAATGGGATGAGTCAGTTTGAGGAGGCAGGTAGCACATCTTCCTCTCAGTTTGGAGGGAGAACTGGGATGGGTGTCCCTCAGCTTGAAAAGTGGAGTCAACTTTCCTCTGTAGCGAGATGAGCTGAATTACCTAAAGTTAGGTAGATCCCTCTGAGTTTAAAGGGAATACCATAGGTTCCTTTGGTTTCATGGAAAAGGTGAGTGGAGTTCCCTCTAGTTTAGGGAAAAGGGACGGTCGATATCTCTCATCTGGGAGATGAGATGTGAGAAACAGCTTCCTTCTCAGCCTGGAGTGAGTTGGGCCTAGTCCGGGGCTTAGGGTGACTGGGGACGTTGGGGACTGCGTAGTCCATCACCGCTTTGTGGAAGCGCCCTGTGCGCGTGCGCAGCTCTGGTCCGGGCGGGGGCCTTAAGTGGGTCTCAGGTTTGGGGGAGCAGCGCGGAAGGCAGCAGCGTACTGCCCCCTGCGGTCTGCACAGGGCGGCGGCTTAGTGCGCGGCCTGGGCACTTGGGGCTGGCGGCAGTCGCCACGGGACCCTCCGCCCCTCCCGCAACAGGCTGTCTCTGGAGGACGGTGGTCGCTCACCACTCCAAATCCGGGTGATGGGAGGTTTTCGGGGGCGGACTCGAAGGAGTAGATTTGGGGACTGAGGGAAGGGCTGCTTTGGGTAATTTCCGGAGCTGGGATTAGTCTAGAGGGGATGGAGGAGAGGATTCCGACTATGGTCGTCCGGGGCAGGGTCTCCGAGTCCAGATCTGGCCCGAGGTATCGGAACCGGGATTGGGGGGAGCAGGCCCCACGTGCTTGTGACGCGGGGGCGCCCGGTAGGCGGCGGCGGCGGCGACGCTGGGCCGGCGGCCGTTTGGTGCCGGGAGGGCGGCGAGGTAGGCTGCAGGATGCTGCGCGCTGCACTGGCCCTGCTCGGGCTGCCCCTGGCGGGGGCAGGGGCGGCCGAAGAGCCCACCCAGGAGCCGGGGTCGCGGGGCGAACCTCCCCCAGGCTTGGCGCTCTTCCGCTGGCAGTGGCACGAGGTGGAGGCGCCTTACCTGGTGGCCCTGTGGATTCTGGTGGCCAGCTTGGCCAAAATCGGTGAGTGTGTGTGTGTGAGTGCGTGCGCCAGGCCAGCGGTTGGCAGCAGATCCGCCCCCAACCCCCGGGTCCCTGGATCCCCTCAGCTTCTTCCACATTGTCCTGACTTAGGTTCGGTTTCCAAAAAATCCCGGTTCGCACCCAGTCCCTGCGCCTTCTCCTGTGGGTCTCTCTCCTCTCCGTTCTCCGTGGAAGCGCCAAGCATTTTCCCTTCCTGAAGGACTGCCCCTGCTCTCTTTGGGTTCTTTTACCCTCTTTGCTCTCCTCTTCCCCTTGCAATGAGTCCCCCTCAGTCCAGCCTCTCCCCACCAATGCCCAGCTTCCCAGAAATCTCCTTCAGCGGTGAAGTGAGGATGTGTGGGGACGTTCAGGGGATGGTATTCTCCGAGGAACACAGACATCCTGGTCTTAAGGAAGCCGACTTCCCTGGAGACGACGCCAAGTATCCATTCTCTTGGGGATGCTAAACCACCACTTTTCCTCTAGCTCACCTCTGCACCCCACATAAAAATAACACATTCTTGCTCCTAGGTATCCTCTGTCCCACGCACTCCCATTCAAATTCACATTCCTCCCACTTCGGGGTATAAGAAACTTCCGTTTATTGGGGCTTTGCTGTGTGCTGCCTACCCTAGTTGCTTTTATACTTCAACCTCCTTCAGTCCTCAAAACAGTGAAGGGTGTTTCAGACTATTTTCCTTGAATAGAGCTGCTTTTCCTTGCCTCTGCCCCTTCCTTCCTCCTCCCTTTTGTGCAGCTAGTGGTCCCTCCTCCCCCCAGAGACCCTCCTCCTTCTCCCTGTTGTGCAGGCTCTTCTGTGGGGGTGACTAATTATAGCTGAGCGTTGCTACTCACTCCCCATCTATGCTGGCACAGCCTGTACTCCGGCTTACCAATGCAGCCTTCATGTAGGAATCTCACAGCCTCGTATTTGCCCCAGGGACATTGCTTATCCCCCAGGGACATTGCTTGGTCGTGGTGGTGGTGGTGGTGGTGCAGGCCTAGACAGAAAGGGAACTCTGTACTTTGCCTTGGCAGCTGGGGATTAATAATGGAAAGTGGTACTCAAAATGCCTTCAGCGAGCCTGATTCTGCCAGAGAACTGGCTTTGTGATGGGTCTTGGGTTGCAGTGCTGGGTCTGGTGCATGCTGAGGAGATGAGAATGAAGTAAGGTTTCTGAAGGAGAGGAAAGAGGTACTCAAGGCAGGGATGAATGTGGGGAGTTCTATTGACTAAGCTCACACTAGAGATCCAGCAGCAGTGAGAGCAAGCTAGGTGCAGCTCAGATTTGGAGCGAAGAATTGTGTTTACTGAGAAGTCTGTGAGTTATGGGAGAGTTCCTGTCTTAAGGTTTATAGCAACAACTGTGGTTTCCACCGTTTGGGGGAAAAAGAGAAAAAACAATTCTCATAGAAGAGGAGAAATATAGAATGTTCAGGAATACCTCCCAGTTTCATTGCTAGGTCCCCACCACACACATCTTTTATTCAACACATATTTATGTAAAGCCCACTGTGTTCCAGGCATTATCTTAGGCCCTTTGAGTACAGCTTCCAAAGGGCATTGTCTTGGCATAGGTTTTCACACCTGTGTCAGGAAGAGTACAGGGAGGCCTCCTCTGCCAGCACCCTCAGGATTGTGTGGGGAAAAATGTGTTCACTTATAGTCTGAGGGCCCAAGGGAGATCCATATTCTAGGGGACAAAAGTATAAGTCTCAGTAGTGCTAGAAACCCTTTTCTTACTTTCCTCTCTTTTCCTAGAAACAGATCTCTTTATTATTTCCTCCCTGAGTCATATTAACATTTGTTGAACCTACTATGGTCTAGGCCTCACACTAGGCACATTTGCACACTTTATATAATTTTATCCTCATACTTTGTGATTGGTATTTTTCCCATGTTACAAGAGAAGAAATTGAAGTTCAGGTAGATTTAATAATAATCACAGTGATAAATCCAAAAAAAGACATGGAGATCTGGCTGCTAAACCTAAAACTTTTTATTTTTTTGTCAGGGTGGGGGGTACCAGGGATTGAACCCCAGGAATGCTTAACCATTGAGCCACATCCACAGCCCTTTTTGAGACAGGGTTTCACTAGATTTCTTAGGGCCTCATTAAGTTGCTTGAGGCTGGCTTTGAACCTGCAATCTTCCTGCCTTAGCCCCCTGAGCTGCTGGGATTACAGACATGTGCCACCACGCCCAGCTAAAACCCAAAACTTTTAAAGTACTGAGTCCTTGCTGAGCCCAGACAATGAAAAATGTGTTGGGCTAGAAGGTCTACAAAGCTCCTAGGAGGTGTAGTATGCATTATAGTTGGGAAACCCTAACTATAATATGATAACATAATAACATTTATCATAATAATATGTAACATTTATTGAGCTCTTACTATAAGCAGTGTGCTAAGGGCTCTTAAGTGGATTATTTATTTTATCCCCACAACAATCCTATGAGACTATTATTGTTTTGTTTTTTGTGGTACTGGGGGTGTAACTCAGAGACACTCTACCATAGAGCTGCATCCCCATTTTTTAAATTTTATTTATTTATTGGTACCTGGGATAAAACTCAGGCACATGACCACTGAATCACATCCTCAGTCCTATTTTGTATTTTATTTAGAGACAGGGTCTCACTGAGTTGTTAAGTGCTTTACTTTTTGCTGAGGCTGGCTTTGAATTCGCGATCCTCAATCCTCCTGTCTCAGCCTCTCCAGCCACTGGGATTACAGGTGTGCGCCACCACGCCCAGCTTATTTATTTTATAATTTTTTTTTAGTTGTATATGGACACAATACCTTTATTTTATTTATTTTTATGTGGTGCTGAGGGTTGAACCCAGTGCCTCACATGTGCTAGGCAAGCAACATTCTACCACTGAGCCACAACCCCAGCCCTTATTTATTTTAATTTGAGACAGGGTTTTACTAAGGCTGTCCTTAAACTTCAAATCCTCCTGCCTCAGTCTCCTATCTGGGATTATAGACATGTTACTGTACCTAGCTGATTGCTATTGTTTTTACTTCCTCCTTGCTGATGAGAAAACTGAGGGTCAGAGAGGTGAAGTTATTTTCCTAGATCAGAGAACTAGTAAATGGGGGACTTAGACCTTGAACCCAAGCAGCCCGGGAAGCCCGGATTTCTACAGCTGTGTTATGCATAAAAAGGATTTGCTTAGGTTCAAATAATAGCTGTGGAAAGGAGGTCAGAGAAAGATGAGGTCCCCTGAAGATGAGAGAGGAGGGAGCATTTCCAGGAATGGAAAAAGCAAGCAAAAGCCTTGCTGCAGTGAAGGGTTTGTAGCCCTGGAGGTTAGAGATTCTAGAAATTTTGCATTTTGATTTTCTTCCCTTGGTTCCAGGGTCAGGGCTTCTAAGACTGGGAGGTTATAGGCTGGTGTGTGGAAGGTGTTCCATAAGCTCATACCTGCTACCCTCTTCTTGCATTGTAGTGTTTCACCTGTCTCGGAAGGTAACATCTCTGGTCCCTGAGAGCTGCCTGCTGATTTTGCTGGGCCTGGTACTAGGGGGCATTGTCTTGGCTGTGGCCAAGAAAGCTGAGTACCAGTTGGAGCCGGGTACCTTCTTCCTCTTCCTGCTGCCTCCTATTGTGCTGGACTCAGGCTATTTCATGCCTAGTCGGCTGTTCTTTGACAACTTGGGTGCCATCCTCACCTATGCTGTGGTGGGCACACTCTGGAATGCCTTCACAACAGGCGCTGCTCTCTGGGGCCTGCAGCAGGCTGGACTTGTGGGTGAGTGATCCTGAAGACCTGGGCTGACAGGCAGAGGTTTTTGTCAGACCCATCACCTCTCTTCTTTCTCCTCCAGTTCTGAAGGTCCCATGCTGGCAAGAGCCATGCTATAAAAGATCCATCTCAGGCCCCTCCCACCTGAAGTATAAGGCAACTCTCCAGATGGGCTTCAACCCTCATTTACTTCCCTTCTAGTCAAGTCTGCACTTCTGCTGCATGACAACTGAGTGGGGACCTGGCTCCCAGTGTGTGCGCTGCTGAGCTGGAGGAGCCTGCATTACCACTCTGTTTTCTCCTGCCCTGTGTTACCACACTGCCACTTGCCAGCCCTACTTTCTTGAGACACAACTCACCATTTCTGTCCTGGCTCTACTCAGGCCATGTCAGTGTGGTTTCCTGTTTTTATTATTTTTACTAAATATATATATATAAAAAATGCTAAGCACTATGCTGGGCATTCTCTCCTTACTTATCCTATTGACTCTTCATAACAAACCTGTTGGGGTATAATTTGTCCCATTTAATGGATGAGAAAGTAGAGTCCCTAAAATTCATTTGCTATCAGATCCAAGATTACCAGAAGTCCAAGATTAGCCTCCATTTTATTGAGGTGTTTTTCCTTTAGCCCCTCCCCTGTTCCCCTCTTTATTTCCTTATCAAAGAAATCCATTCAATCCTGATGTTGATAATTCAGACTTCTTCCAAAGTAAAAGGAGATGTTTATAGTTCCCAGCTGGGGACTTCAACCTGGTTTTCCTAATAAGATAATGAGCTATTTGGGACAGGAAGGGAAGAGTGGACATTAGATCCTAGTCTTAGTAGTAATTTTAATAATAGTAATAGCTATTGGATGCTTACTATGTATCAGGCTCTGGCTAAATAAAGGACTTTTGTTTTAAACTTTAAAAAATTATAAATAATTGAGTACATTATAATTATGTATATTTGTGGGATTCATTATTACATACATACACAATAAATAAAGAACTTTTTAGGTGCATATTGTTATTTCCAATTTGTCCATGGGAAAAGTGAGGCTCACAGAGATTATTTGACATGTTCAAATACCACCTGTAGGACTTTTTTGGCTGTCTTCTTGCTGAGAACCGTGAGTGTCACATCTCTTTGGCTGAGAACTGCAGGAGTGGGAGAAAGCTCTCTCCTGTTATCCTCCCTAATAAAGCCAGTCGACAGCCAATTCCCACCTGCTGGGAGCTACTATTATGATTGCTACAGTTTTCATTACCAGTACCATCTTAGTTTTTCAGTTTACATAGAGCTTTTTTAGCAATATCCTGAGTTGGTTTTTGCAGCCATTTTGTGAGATGGGCAGATGAGGAAGCATGGTTAACAGAAGTCATGTTACAGTGACATCACCCATATCACACAGCTGATGAGTGGCAAAGCCAGGCTTTGGGAATAGGCAGCTTGCCTCAAGTCTCCTGACCTGCAGGCCAATGCCCTCCTCACCTTCCCAAGTACTTTTTGGGCTTCCTGTTTTATCAGTGAGGGTAGCATCTGGTCTGTTCCAGTGAGTGCCACATGAGTTGGGGACATCTTCACCAATTACTGGTCTGTCTTCTGTCTCTCCCTTGCTAGCCCCCAGAGTGCAGGCTGGCCTGCTGGACTTCCTGCTGTTCGGGAGCCTCATCTCAGCAGTGGACCCTGTGGCTGTACTGGCTGTCTTTGAGGAGGTGCACGTCAATGAGACTCTCTTTATCATCGTTTTTGGGGAGTCCCTGCTCAATGATGCAGTCACTGTGGTGAGTGCTCAGCAGGCTGACATCCCTTGACCTCAGGCTACCACATTCTGACTAGTTGGGCATCTGAGCAGGCTCAGACCCTTTCTTCTGGTCCCCTGGGGAAGAAATAGGTCTCAGCTTTTCCCCTCTCCCAGTGGCCTTGGTTGCTATCTCCCCCTCACTTGCTCCTGAATTTCCTCTTTTCACTTAGGTGCTGTACAAGGTCTGCAACTCCTTTGTGGAGATGGGCTCTGCCAACGTGCAGGCCACTGACTACCTGAAGGGAGTCGGTCAGTATTTCCCCCTCTTTGTCTCCCCCAGGTTGCTGAGTCCCACCCTCCTGGCAACATGACAGCAGAGGCTATTCGGGTTGCCTCATTTCTTACTCTCCTCTATGGAGAAATGGGGTCTGGGCAAAGCTTGCCCTGGGATCCTGAGCCCTGGGGAGTGTGGTGGGTATCTTCCACCACTTCCTACCAGGCAGCACTCTTGTCAGCCTTGGGAGGGTCTGGACCAGGGGTCATGCTGATAACCCACTCCTCCCCCAGCCTCCCTGTTTGTGGTCAGTCTGGGCGGGGCAGCTGTGGGCTTAGTCTTTGCCTTCCTCCTGGCCCTGACCACACGCTTCACCAAGCGGGTCCGCATCATCGAGCCGCTGCTGGTCTTCCTCCTCGCCTATGCAGCCTACCTCACTGCTGAAATGGCCTCACTCTCTGCCATTCTTGCGTGAGTTCTGGGAGCCTTGCAGGCCGGCAGCTGGGAGGGGGCACTGGAGATGGTTGCCTCTCACATGGACAGAAGTGGGACCCTGAGGAGTTTGTAGGTTTTCTTGAGCCCTTGTGTACTGGTTCCTCAGTCTCCCTTGGAGAGACAATAAACCTCAGGTAATCTTCCAAAACTGGGCACCCAGAACTGGGTACTCCAGGGCCCAGTCTTCCTCTGACTTAAAAACCTGGGACCACTGGCTGTGGTAACTAAGTGCTTCAAAAGATGCCTCAGAGTCTGCTAGTTGGAGCATGTTTCTCGTCATTTTCCCTCCTGGAGGCACTGAGTGGAAGCCTAGAGATCTGGATTCCCAGGGCCACTCCCCTGACTTGCAGTGTCCATGCATTCCTAGTTTTTGTCCTTGCCTTCCTAATTTTTGCCTCTGAGAGTCTGACACCCTGTGTTGGGCAATGCCCACTCTTGCAGCATGCTCAAACCCTGGAGGCTGAGCCCCCTGGAACACCTTCTCACTTAATTCTGTCTCTCCATTCTTCTCCCAGGGTGACCATGTGTGGCCTGGGCTGTAAGAAGTATGTGGAGGCCAACATCTCCCATAAATCACGCACAGCTGTCAAATATACAATGAAGACTCTAGCCAGTTGTGCTGAGACTGTCATCTTCATGCTGCTTGGCATCTCGGCTGTGGACTCTTCTAAGTGGGCCTGGGACTCTGGGCTGGTGCTGGGCACCCTCTTCTTCATCCTGTTCTTCCGAGCCCTCGGTATTGCTGGCACCCTCTGTTTCCCCACTCTCCTCCTTGTCTCCCCTCCCCCTGCAGGCTCATTCCCCAATCTGAGTCCACATCCTTGTCAATTCCTATGCCTCCCCCTAGTGCTCAATTCTCCCAGTCCTTCCCAGACCTTAGCTCAGACACTTGGTGCCACCCACACCCAGTGTCTTCCACTCCCAACACCTTGCTCCTGCTGACCTTCCTCCTGCTGTAGGCGTAGTCCTGCAGACGTGGATGCTGAATCAGTTCCGGTTGGTCCCTTTGGACAAGATTGACCAGGTGGTGATGTCCTATGGGGGCCTGCGGGGGGCTGTGGCCTTTGCTCTCGTCATCCTGCTGGATAAGACCAAGGTCCCTGCCAAGGACTACTTTGTGGCCACCACTATTGTGGTGGTCTTCTTCACAGTCATTGTGCAGGTGGGAGTGCCCATGAGGCTGGTGGGGAAAGGGTCCAGTAGGCCCTGGGGAAAGACTTGCAACCTATGGAACAGGCATTCCTCCTCCTGTTCGGAGAAGCAGGAACTTAACTTCCAAGACCTTGAGTGCACTGGGGTAGGGGGACAGAGCTGAGGCCTAATGATGGGGGAGAGAAAGACAGCAGGGAACTGATTAGGGAAGGGCTCACCTCCTGCCTGTCCATAGGGCTTGACCATCAAACCACTGGTCAAGTGGCTGAAGGTGAAGAGGAGTGAACATCACAAACCCACCTTGAACCAGGAGCTGCATGAGCACGTGGGTACCAGAACCCCAACCCTCCACCTGTCCCTTTCTCCCTTCTCCTATTTTGGCAGAGTCCTGATCCAGTCCCCCTACCCACCCCCTTCTAGACTTTTGACCACATTCTGGCTGCAGTGGAGGACGTTGTGGGGCACCATGGCTACCACTACTGGAGGGACAGGTGAGGGAGCTGCCCCGAGGCTCCTTCAACAGCAGCAGCCCCACCAGACAGGGCAGCATGGGGGATGTGCCACCCTTCTAAGAAGGGACACAACCAGGTTCAGGCTGGGTGACCTCTGTCTGGAGCCTTAGAGAAGCATTACTGTGCTCAGGATAAGACAAGGCTCCCTAGTGTGGCCTGCCTGGCCCTGCATGATCTGGCATTTTACCAGATTCCAGCCCCATCATGCTCTGCTATGTCTTGGATGGTCTTCCTGCTAATTAGTTGGACCCCATTAGAGCCTTAGGATCCACCAAGATCCCTGGGCCTGGCCACTGGGACCATTGCACATGTTCTCTCTACTAGAACATTCCCTTGCCTCATCTTACTGTAACTTTTGTTCATCCTTCAGATCTCACCACAAGCATAAATTCCTTAGGGAGGGCTTCCCTGGCCTCCCTGAGAAGGACAAATCCCTATCATATTCTACAATTATCCTTGTTAGTTCTTGTCATGGTTGCAATTTTACAGTTATTTGCAATAACTTTAATTAATGTCAGAGTTTCCCCCAACACTGTAAATTTTACAGAGCAGGAACTAGCCTTGAGATTCTCCCGGCTGAGACCCATTCCAAGAAAGCCAGGCCAGTGCTGGTGGTGTCCCTGTCCTATCTGAGGAAGGGCCAGCCAGCCAGGCCTTGGGGATGGTACTCAGGGCTGGGCCTGGCATCCTCTATAGGTGGGAGCAGTTTGACAAGAAGTACCTGAGTCAGCTGCTGATGCGGCGGTCAGCCTACCGCATCCGGGACCAGATCTGGGATGTATACTACAGACTCAATATCCGGGATGCCATCAGCTTCGTGGACCAGGTAGGGCATATGGCCGAGAAAGCAGGATAGAAAGGAGCAACAGGCAGGCAGGCAGGCAGCCTTATTAGGAGAGAGTTGGGAGTTCCCAGCTGTACTCATGGTCTGATGAAGTAGCAGAATTAAGCTTGACCTAGTGCTGACATTCAGAATCTGGCAAGCAGTATAGAAAGGTGGGAAACATCTGGACCCTTGAGTCAACAGATGTAGTTCAACTATTATCACAGGTGTGTGATTTTTGGAAGCCACTTATATGTCTGAGCCTGTTTCCTCAGTCATAAGAAAGCAGAAATAAGAACAAGAGTACCTATGTCAGGTTTTATGGATTTAATATATAAAATGTTACTACAGTATCTAGCACATCAAAACAGCAAAAGAAGTATTAACTATTGTTCTCTTTATTATTCTCTTGATGCTGTGGGCCACCTTCCATCTGATTGCTGTCTGACTTTGGTCTTGACCCCTACAGGGAGGCCATGTCTTGTCCTCCACAGGCCTCACTCTGCCCTCTATGCCCAGTCGCAATTCTGTGGCAGAGACCTCTGTCACCAACCTGCTGTGAGTCCATTGAAGCCTCTTCCCCTTCCCCAAGCTCCTCTCCACTGGGCCCTCTCCAAATCCCTTCTGGGGAAGATTTTTCAGCACCTTTATTTCTATTCTTCCCCTGGCCTGTGCCTCCTGCCCCCTCCCTAGCACACATGTCCCTGCCTCCTGCAGGAGGGAGAGTGGCAGTGGAGCGTGTCTGGATCTGCAGGTGATTGACACAGTACGCAGCGGCCGGGACCGTGAGGATGCTGTGATGCATCATCTGCTCTGTGGAGGCCTCTACAAGCCACGCCGCAGGGTGAGAGCAGGCAGGACATAAGAGGTCCAAGGGTTATGGGGGCTGATCTGGGGAGGTATGATCGAAGCTCAAGAGGCAATTGGTGCCAGATTGTGGTAAGCTGTAAATGCTCAGTTGGAGAGTGCTGCCAACAGGGTTTCATCCTGTTGGCAATAAAAAACCTTGACTTGTTGTTGTTTTGGAGAAAGGACTGACCTTCTCTGGTAGCACAGAGGGCGCAAATTGAGAGCAGGAGAACCAGTAGGGATGTTGGAGGGAAATACTTCAGATTCAAGCTAGGTGGTGGGAGGAAGAGGACCACAAGGACCTGGGGATTGGCCATGAGAGGAGAGGAGGAAATGGCTAAGGGGCCTTGAGGGTCACTAGAGAATAAAAGTCACAGGAGCAGGGATGCTGAGGAAGCTTTTGGGATCAGCATGGGGGAGGCAGACATGTTTTAGGAAATAGTGAGTTAGTTCAACACAGACCAGTAGGAAATCTGTTGCAACCCCACAAGGGGGCAGCAAGCCATATTTTAAACCTAAAATGAGAAGCTAGCTGCTACTATCCCTGGCAGTTGTGCTTTTTTGGGGGGTGGGGTGGGGTGGGAGTGGTACTGGGAGTTGAACTCAGGGGCACGCGACCACTGAGCCACATCTCCAGCCCTATTTTATATTTTATTTAGAGACAGGGTCTCACTGAGTTGCTTAGCAACCTCACTGTTGCTGAGGCTGGCTTTGAACTTATGATCCTGCTGCCTCAGCCTCCCGAGCCTCTGGGATTATAGGCATGCGCCACCGTGCCTGACCCCTGGAAGTTTTAACAGGCAAGGTTTTTTAGATCATTGAGACAGAATTGACTTTCTTTTAACTTGCACCACATCCTGATTTGACTAAGTATCTGCAGAATAAGCTTCAAAGGTCTCAAGACAGCTCTCTCCATATAGGCTCTCCTGCCCTCAAGCCATCATCTCCTACATCTGGTGTGTCTGCTCCGGTAATGAGAAAGGGAGCTCAGAATGGAAGGTGCTACTCTGTGATTGGCTATGGCAATGCTGAGGGCTTTCTCACCTTTCTAGTTTTGAAACTTGCCATGGTCTTTCTACAGTCCATGATCCTGCAGGCTTTGGTTCACGAGCTGGGGGGCCCTATGTTGTCCTCACAATCTGCCAGACTCCAGGCCCCTGTCTCTTCCTTAGTTAATGGCTGGCAAACACTGTCTCATCTAACCAGTGGGGTTTATATTCTTCTTTTTTTGCAGAGGGTACTCAGGATTGAGCCAAGGGACATTTTAGCACTAAGGTTCATCTCCAGTCCTTTTTATATTTTATTTCGAGACAGGGTTTTGCTATTCTAAGAGTTTCACTAAGTCACTGTTGCTGGCCTTGAACTTGCAATCTTCTTACCTCAGCCTCCCTAATAGCTGGAATTATAGGGTGTGCCACTGCACCCAACAAGTTTATATTCTTTTAACTATTTTTTTTGTGCAAAATTTCAGCAGAAATAAGAATTCTCATTTATCCATTACCCAGCTCTAATAATTACAGATACATAATACATTTTGTTACATTCTGTAGCCCCATACACCCTGCCCACACTTTTTTCTTTTATTAGTGCATAATAGTTGGGATAATTTTGACAAGATCATACATACATGGAATTTTTTTTTTCATTCATGGAATTTAATTTACTCCATTCAGTCCTCCATGTTTCCCCATTGTTCCTCCCTCCCCCTAGTCACATGCCTCTTTTCTACTGGTCTTCCTTTCACTCATTTATTTTTGATCGATGCTTTATAGATATGGTATAGATAAGGTAGAATTGACTGTGGTATATTTTTAAACATGCATATAGTTTAATTTTGTTAAAATCATTTTGCTTTTCCTCCTTTTTCCATCCTTTCTCCCTCTCTTTTGATCTCCTTTTTCTATTCCACTGATCTTCCCTGTATCTTTATGATATTGGATCCCCATTCCTTTTCCCCCTTATTTTGCTCTAGCTTCTGCACATAAGAGAAAAATTCGACCCTTGATTTTCTAAATCTGGCTTATTTCATGTAGTATGAGAGTCTCCATTTTATTCACTTACTGCCAAATGCCATAATTTCATTCTTTTTTATAGCTAAGTAAACTCCATTGTGTATATATACCACATTTCCTTAATACACTCGTCTATTAATGGGCATCTGGACTGACTGGTTCCATAACTTGACTATTGTGGATTGTATTGATATAAACATTGATGTGACTTTTATCACTGTAGTATGCTGATTTCTTTTAGACAAATACCAAGGAGTGGGATAGCTGGAGCATGTGGTGGTTCCATCATAGTTTTGGGGGGGAATTGCCATACTGCTTTCCTTCCATACTAATTTCTTGCCCACACTTTTATCTTTGGGGATGTTGGTTTACCGGGCATTGAACCCAGGGGCGCTTCACCACTGAGCCACATCCCCAGCCCTTTCAAAAACGTTTTCTTATTTTGAGACAGGGTCTCATCAAATTGCTGAGGCTGGCCTTAAACTTGTGCTACTCCTACCTCAGCCTCTTGAGTCACTGGGATTATAGGCATATGCCAGTGTACCCAGCAATATTTTTATCTTAAAACTTATCATATCACATAATCTCTAAATATTTCAGTTTGTATCTCTAGTTGGCAAGAAATATTAAAAAAAATAAATCATAGTACTATTATCACAAAAATGATAATAATTCCTTCTCATATCAAACATTCAGTGTTCAATAGATAATCTTTTTACAGATTGTTTTTTCAAATCAGAGTCCAAATAAAGTCCACATTTTGTACTGGGGAAATATGTCTCTTCATTAAAAACAACAACAACAACAACAACTATAATAGTTCCTTGTCCCTCTTTTTTCTCCCATGGTATTTATTTACTGAAGAAACTGGATACTTTATCTTAGAGAATTTTCTAGATTTTGTTGATTGAATTCCAGTGGTGATAGTTAACATGTTCCTTCATCCCCTTGGTCATTAAATCTTGAGCCCTGATGAGATTCAAAGACATTCAGTTGGTATGCTATATACTTCTTATTGTATTATATCAGGAGTATACAATTTATACATAACTTTGTGTGTGTATGTGTGTATGTGTATGTGTGTGTGTGTGTGTGTGTGTGTCTAGACTGACCAATGGGTTCAGTCTAATTAGTTCTCATGTAGTCAACTTTAAAAAGAAGGAATAAATGTGTGCTTATCCTGTTAAATGTCATCTTATTTAATTTAGCCCATCATTCCATCATTTGGATCCCATGTCTCCTCAGATTCATATCATCTGAAAATTTGCTAAGCCTGTTAATTTGTATTCATCCAAGTCAACATAAAAATGTTGAACAGGATAGAGCTGAGACAGAGTCCTGTGGCATGCTACTAAAGACTTTCCTCCAGACTGACATGGATCAAGCATTTTTTGGGTATGGTTACTCAACCAGTTCGGAATCTACTTAGTTGTAACACAACACAACCTATAATTCCTCATGTTCTTTCTAGAAATATCATTAGAGAGAAACAGAAGCATCTAATATGCAGCTAGAAAGATAACATTATCATTGAAGAGAGAGATAAGGACTGGAGAGAAAGATTTGGTAGCAATCTATATCAGAAGTTTCTTTGGTTATATCAGAATCCTCTGAGAAGCTTGCTCAACTATTCCTGGCTTCATTTCCTGGAGATTCTGATTCTGTAGTATTGAGTGGGATTAAGAGTCTGTGTCCTTAACAAGTGATTCAAACGCAGCTGGTCTTAAGGCTGGTGTTCGGGAACTACAGACATATCAATGGGATAGTCAAAGCCGGGAGAACAGATAAGTTCTCTGGGGAGAGAGTTTGGAGTCAAGAGAAGAGGACCAAGGATGCACTTGAAAGAAAGGAATAGGGAGCCAATGAGGGAGAAGGAACCCTTGGAGAAGCAGTAGCAGATATGTCTCAGGCCTGGGGGCAATGAGGCCTGGCTGGTGTCTAGGCAGAATGAGGGAAAGTGTCAGAATCAAACTATAAGAGTTTGGCAATAAAGGCTTTATTCAAGGAGGCAGGCTCAGGAGCTTTCCCAAAAGCAGAGAGGAAGTGACCAGTGACAAGGGGAGAAGCAAAAATGCAGGAGTGGAGAAACTGTAGTGATTACTGATGGAGGCAAGAAGGAGTGAAATGAGCAAAGCCAAGGCCAGGGCTGGGGAGTGACAGACCCCTTCATCTCCAGGAGAGAGGCATCTCTGTGTGCATAGGTCAAAGAGGGCAGATGAGAGACTTAAAGGAAGCTCTTAGAACAGGTTCAGGGAATCAGAAAATAAGAGTGATGGGAAAGGGACCAGACTTGGGGTTTGAGGCAAGATGAGTGATTTGGAACACTTTGCAGTACTTTGGGGGAATTACCTACCATGAGATAATGGAAATGTGGCTAAGTTCCTGAAGATAGAGACAGAGACAGGCTGGGTGAGTGCACAGTAGGCTTGATCTTTTTTGAGTTTTAAAAAGATAAGATGAAGGGGATGGCTCTGAAGTAGGTAGATAGGTACTGGGATTGAAAGGGTCTAGGGATCAGGGGAGATAGTTATGAAGGCCTCAAGTGCAGTCTGGGTCTAATGATGGTTGTTGTGGAAATAGCTGGAAAGTTCAGCTGGAGAAAGGATCCTGGGTACTTAGAAGGGGCCAGGATGGCCACAGGGATATGAACCACATGCCAATAAATGGAGATGCAAAGAAGGAAATGGCCCCCATAGACTTATAGTAGTCCCAGGGAATAAGACATGATAACTTGCCTTCAGTCACTTCAAGTCAAAAAGAACTGGGAAAAGGAACAGCAAAGGATGGGGAAAAACAGATTTGGAGGAATCAATTCTAGGGTGAAGGGAAGTTTTTCTACAGTGAACTAGAATACAGTTTCTGGATGGGTTCCTATGATACCGTTTTGTTTTAATCCATGGCTAGTTCTGGAAAAGTTGGGCTGGCAGAACCTGCGGTGAACATGTTGGGGCTGTGGCCTGGGGTTCCTGTGGGAAGCCAAAGCATCCAGCCTCATGGCAGGGTGGGGCTGTCATTGCCAGTACAAAGCCAGCTGCAGCCGCCACTTCATCTCTGAGGATGCGCAGGAACGGCAAGACAAGGAGATCTTCCAGCAGAACATGAAGCGGCGTCTGGAGTCCTTTAAGTCCACCAAGCACAACATCTGCTTCACCAAGAACAAGCCACGAACCCGCAAAGCCGGCCGCAAGAAGGCATGTCCTTTCTCTGAGAGTCCTCTTTGGATCTGGGCACACAGTTTTGAGTCCTTATGTGTTACAATCTAGCATTAGGGAACCCCTAGTTGAATCATCATCAGGGATTTGGTAACTAGCAGTTTGAGTTCCCTTTTAGATCCTCCTGGGCCTCCAGAAGAGTAAGGGGAGGTGTTCAGGGGGAAAGCAGGCTCTTGGTTATGTAGTCACTTGCTACTAGAGAGATATAATAACAGGGGAGGAGCAACTCCAGGAGCCACTCAGTCAGCCCAAGCAGATGCACCCAGATTCCCTGCTGGGGTACAGGTGACTCAAACTCCACATGCCTCTGGCTGGCTGAAGAATGGTTAGATGGTAGAACCACTGACATACAAAATTTCCTCCCCTGCTGGGTTAGGAAGACTTGTCCTCTGTTGACCCTACCAGAAGGCAGGGTTGGGGTGCAGAGCCAGGGCCAGAAGCTCAGGGTTTCTCTCTTGGTCCTCAGAAGGATGGTGTGGCTAATGCTGAGGCTACAAATGGGAAACCTCCTCGAGACCTGGGCTTTCAGGATACAGGCAAGCAGGGAGCAGGGGTGGCTGGGCTTAAGGATGGAAGGGAGTTGGGGAAGGGCAGGACCCATCTGCCAGAGTCCTGGAGGACCTTCTCTGGGTGCATTTAGCATATTAACTGGGTTTCACCCGTCAGGGACTAGAGGGGCACTCTTGCTTTCAATGTTGAAAATATTCAAAGCAGTAATATAATGTGTGACAGGAGGTACCTGATTGCTAACTGGTTTACAGGCCCTGAGGACTTGGAAACGGTCATAGAGAAGGGAAACTTGCCTGGGCCTTGAAGGATGGGTAAACCCTGGGGCTTAGTGTCCCATGTGCAAAACTATTTCCCTGTGAACATAGTGTTAATGGACCTTCCAGCCCTCCCAGTGCTCATGTTGATGGTGAGGTCTGGGGCTGACAAGAGGATAGAGGAGCTAGAAGGTGTGATCATTACAGCCTCCTCCAAGGGCTTAGCTCCTTTGGTTGCCTCCTCAGGCTCTGCAGTCTCCCTTCCCTTCCTCTCAAGCCCTCTTCCTACTAGAGACAGAGGAAAAAGGCACCTCTGTCAATATGGGCTGTGCTTGGGGGAACAGGAGCTGGCTTGGGGTTGCTGGGCTGCTCCCCCCACCCCAACTCAGCTCTTGTGCCTATCCAGCTGCTGTGATACTAACTGTGGAGTCTGAGGAGGAAGATGAGAGCGACAGTTCAGAGACAGAGAAGGAGGACGACGAGGGGATCATCTTTGTGGCTCGGGCCACCAGTGAGGTTCTCCAAGAGGGCAAGTTCTCAGGTAATGGCTTCCTCACTGCCTCCCTCCCCTTTGGAGCAAGGATTTTCTTCTCTGCTCCTATGGCCTCTGCTCCAGATAACTTTCTTTTCCTATTCACCATTTTAATCACTAACCAGCTTTTACTGAGCATCTCCTTTCTAACAGAAAGCTGACATACATGATCTGGTTCAACCCTCACAACAACCAAGATGGAGAAACTAAGCTCATAGATCCTAAAGGACTTGTCAGTTGTCCAGTGTCACATGGCAGAACCAGAATTAGAACCTGATCTGTGTGACTACAAAGCCTAATGCCTCTCACTGCTATTTCTCCATGAGGAGCATGAGATGACAGCAAACCTAAAAGCAGGCTCTGCTGTATCCAGGCTTATCATACCTGCCCTCATGTAGAGCCCCAAGTGAGGGTGGTACCTGACCTGGGGTAGGAATCTGAATTAATAAAAATGGAATTATAGATAAGATGATACATGCATGTTTTCTGCATGTGGAAACCAAATTCAATCATAATACTAGGTATCACTGGTGGTTGGCTCAAGAATTCTCAGGTGACTTTTTAGACAGATTTATTGAAGAAAATTTCAAAATACATAATGATAGAACAGGAAAATAAACTCTTATTTATTCTTTACCCAGCTTCAATGATGACCTATTCATACCACTCTTATTTCACCTTTACCCTCACCTATGACCCTTGCTCTTATGAAAAAAATCTCAAGTATCATACCACTTTATCAATAAATATTAAGCATAAAAAGAGGGATTATTTTTAAAAACTATAACCACACTGCCATCACTTTATGTAAAAATCTTTGTCATCAAAGATTCTAGTCCGTGTTTAGATTTTCCTAGTGGTCTTAATATTTTTTATAACAGCTTTGTGCAAATAGAAATCCAGGTAAGACCCACACATTACATTTGGTAGATAAGTCTCTTTTATCTTTTAATAGTGGTTCTCAAGGGATGGGATGTGAAGAGATTTGGCATCCCTGAGGATAACCAAGTTTTGGAGACATGTTTGATGTCACATCTTGGGATAGTACCCTTGCACTGAGTGGGTACAGAAAGCCAGGAATGCTGCTAAACATCTTACAAAGCACAGGACAGCCCTATGACAAAGTGGCTACCTCAAAATGTCAACCCTCACAACAACCAAGATGGTTGTCAAGTTTGGAAAACTCTGAGTGAGCCTTGCTACTTTTTTCCCCTTGCAACATATCTATTGAAGAAACCAGGTTATTTGCCCTGTAGCCCTTCCCTGTCTGGATTTTGCTGATTGCATCTCCAAGTGTCATTTAATATATTTTCTGTCTATTATATTTCTTTTAAATCTAGATCATCTCCTTCTTTCCTTCCTTCCTTTCTTTCTTGGCAGTAGTGGAGATTGAACCCAAGGCTTTATACATGCTAGGAAAGCACTACCACTGAGCTATATCCCTAGCCCTAGCTCTTAAAAGATTTTTTTTAAATTTTTAATTTTTTTTTTAACTTTTGGAGACAGTATCTCACTGAATTGCCCAGGCTGGCCTTGAACTTGCAGTTTTCTTGCAGCAGCCTCCCACATAGCTGGGATTATAGGCATATGCCACTGTACCTGGCTCTGTTCTCTTTTCATTAGGCTAACTTTGATCCCTGGATTCAGATATTGTTCATTTTCAAGTTACTCATTCACCTTTTTTTTTTTTTTTGGTACCAGGGATTAAACCCAGGGGTACTTTATCACTGAGCTCCATCCCTAGCCCTTTTTATTTTGAGACAGGGTCTCACTAAATTGCTGAAGGTCTCAGTAAGTTGCAGAGACTGACTTCACACTTGCCATCCTCCTGCCTTATCTGGGATTACCAGAGTGTGCCACCATGCCCAGTTTATTCATTTGCCTTTCATTAATTGGTCTTGGCAGCTATTCATCACTACCAGATACAACAATTCATTAAGGGTCATATAATGGTGATACTCTGTATCTTTTTAAGTATGGGGGATTGAAGCTGGGGATACTCTATATGGAGCTATATCCTCAACCCTTTGTATTCTTTTGAGACAGGGTCTCACTAAATTACTAAAGCTGGCCTTAAACTTGTGATCCTCCTGCCTCAGCTTCCCAAGTAGTGAGGATTAAAGACATGGACCACCATAATTAGCTCCTATTTTTCATCTTCATTTGTTAGCAGGAATTCTGTAAAAACTTTCCCTAATCAATTATTTGGTTACTTTGAGGAACAAACAGAAAATAATGGATAAGTGCTTGATCTTTCCTTTTATGTCAGTCTTCAGACCAAGAAGTTAGTTCCCTAGCATCCTCTAAAGGTGAACATTGATGGTTTTTGTTGTTGAGTGATGGGAAATGAGACTTTTTGTTACTAAATTTTAATATTCTAGGTCTTTCAAGAGATAATTTCACTTCTAATTATAGCATCAATATTTTATTTTACTTTCTTAGTACCAGGGATTGAACTAAGGACACTAGACCACTAAGCCACATCCCCAGCCCTATTTTGTATTTTATTTAGGAACAGAGTCTCACTGAGTTTCTTAACACCTTGAAGCTGGCTTTGAACTTGTGATCCTCCTGCCTTAGCCTCCCTAGCTGCTGGGATTACAGGCATGTGTGCTACCATGCCTGGCAATCATCAATATATTTTATAACATAATCAAGAAGGTTTTGGGGGCCCTGGAAGTACAGCTCCATGTAAAGCACTTACCTACCATGTGTGAGGGCCCTGGATTTGATCTACAGCATGAGGGAAAAAAGGAAAGTTTATTAAACTCTTTGGGACTTTATCAATGAATAGTTACGTGCAACACATTGTACTTGACATTGGAGAGCTCAGCTTTCCTGTTTAGAACCTCACAATTCCTGTAATTCAGCAGCCTGCACTTCTAGGATTCTCAGCTCCCATTCCCTATCTTGCCATCCCAGCAACTTCAGCCTGCTGTTAGGTTTGTATGAGCTCATGCTCTGGTCTTAAATAAAGGGCTGTGGTGGGTGCTCAGGCAGTGTGCCAAGCAACAAAGCCTCTGGCCTAGAGCCTCAGGGTCTTCCTCTCCCTGGCTTCCTGTCTCTCTCTTGCTGGCTGGTTGGTATGGAGCTTGGCAAAGTGCAGTTCCTGAGACTGGTGCTGCAGGTTTGGTTAAGGTGATAGGAGATGAGACTTTTTTCCTACCTGGCTCCTGCTTCTTCTGCTGCAGCTACTTCCATTTGTTCAGTAGGTATCTCTTGAGCAACTGCTTTTTGCCCAGCCCTGTGGTAGGTGCTGGAAACACAATGGAGAGCAAGACATTCACTGAATAATTGTACAAAGGATGTAATATGGCAACTGTGGAATGAATTTACTTATAAGAACGTGCTTATACTTGAGGATTTCACTACATTGGTAATGAGCTCACATGTACTCTCTGTTCCTAGGAAGCCTTGAGATATGCCCTAGCCCACGCATCATTCCTCCCTCTCCAACCTGTGCAGAGAAGGAACTACCCTGGAAGAGTGGGCAAGGGGACCTGGCAGTGTATGTGTCTTCAGAGACCACCAAGATTGTTCCTGTGGACATGCAGACAGGCTGGAACCAGAGCATGTCATCCCTGGAGAGCCTGGCATCCCCTCCTTGTACCCAGGCCCCCACTCTAACCCGCCTGCCCCCACACCCACTGGGTACTGAAGAGTCCCAGGCGCCTCTTGAGCTGTCCTCTGATCCCCGTCCTAGCTTTGCCTTTCCCCCAAGCCTGGCCAAGGCTGGCCGATCTCGAAGTGAGAGCAGTGCTGATATCTCCCAGCAGCAGGAGCTGCAGCCCCTCATGGGCCATAAAGGCCACACCCATCTTAGCCCTGGCACTGCTAATTCCCATTGGTGCATTCAATTCAACAGAGGAGGGCGGCTGTAGCCCAGCGTCTGGGGAAGAATAGGTGACAGAACCCTTGTGGGAAGTATTCCCTGAGCAATGGGCAGAGGAGCTCACTCAGCCTGACATGGGGCCAGAAGAGTCTGGACTGAAGCAGAACTAGGTTTCCTTGGGGATGGTCAAAAGGGTCTCCTGGGCTGGTCCTCACAGAGACTCTTCTCATCCCTGCTCCTAACCCCTTCCATTTCCATTTCAGTAATGGCTCAGGACCCAGTCCAAAGTTCTAGGGGCTGGGCCCAGAGATTTGGGTAGCTGATGTCCCTTCCCTAGGGAGTCTTCCTAGGCTCACTGTAGACAGCTAGCTGTTCCTGCCCCTAAAATAAGGACATCATTCCTTCCCTGCCCTTTACCCTGTCCCTAGTACTAGGTCAGGGACAGTGCCCTAACAGTGAGGCTCAGCAAGAGGCTGGTCCTCAGAAGCACTGGAGTGGGAGAGGGAGTGGGCCTCACCCTTGGTCTCTGGTGCCCTATTGGGTCAGTTGGTTTTTTTGTTTTGTTAGGGTAGTGGGCATCTTTGTCTCTAATCCTTGCTTTAGCTCTTTCCCTTTGCTGCCAGGTATTGGGGTAATGGTTCTTCCTTTTCCAGGACCAGGGCCCTGGGCCAGGCTTCAGTTAAAACTGCTTCTTAGCCAGAGTCCCTCTGGGGATCTGGTACTATGGGCCCAAATCTGGGACTCTCTGATGCTTGAATCTGGGTTTTCTGAGGAGGGGACACAGTAGCCTCTGGGCTCCCATGTCACCATCTCAACATTCCTCAGAGAAGGAACCAGGTATCCCAGGGCTACTGCTCCATTGCTCCAGGGGCTGAGATGCCTAGCTGCAGTGATAGCAGGGGCTGAGTGACAAGTGGCTTTCCTGAGGTTAGCCCCTGCCTTGTGTTTTGTACCTTAGACCCAAGATATATTAAAAATCTCTCAGATGGATGGTGTCTTCTCTCCATGTGTCTGGGGATTCTAGGGGTAGGGACAGTGGGGGTTTGCCTGTCCAGGGATTCTGGGGTAGAGAATGGAGGGGGATCCTAGGTAGGACTCTTAGTTCTGCTGGTCTTCCCCATACCTCTCTCATACTTTTCTAACATTGTCTGCTTCTAGCAGGGGGCTGGAGTGGCATTCTAGGGGAACACTGTATGTGCTTGGGGTTGCAGAACTGGGAATCTACAAAATAGGAAAGACTAGCAGGAAGAGACACCCCAGAGGTCAGGGGCCAAGTGTCCCAAAATGCAGCAGCCACACCTGGGGACAACAGAAGCATTTCTGGAAAACCTAGAGGCAGATGTGGGACAAATGAACAGAAGTGTCCTTTTATACATGGCAAGTGAGAAGGCAATCTCAAGATGGTTACTGTGCATGTTTATGATACAAATCAGATTAGCGTGCGTCCAGAAAACCCTAGATAACAACACTCCCTAATCTAATTCCCACTGTGTCAGAAGGATTTTTTTTAAGTATCTTTATTGAGATTAAATGCACATGCCATAAAAATTCACCTATATAAAATGTACAGTTCAGAGTTTTTAATATATTCATAGAACTGTGCAACCCTCACCACAATGTAAGTATAGAACACTTTCATCATCCCCCAAAGAAGCCCTGAACCCATGTATTATTCCTCACACCCCAACCTTTATAGCCCTAGGTAATTACTAGCCCAGGACTAGCTGCAGGACTCAGTGTACCAAAAAGGTTAAAAAATCAGTAAACTAACATTTACTTTTTCTGCACTGTGCATGGGGAAAACATGAGGAGAAGGAAGGGCAACTTTGCTTTGCCTTCAAGTTGTTTACTACTAACAATGACAAGGCCTTGTAGTTAACTAATAGTTAACAATCAGTCCCAGCTGTTTCTCACCAGCTATGGCATCTTGGGCATGTTACAAAATCTCTCTAAGCCTCAGTTTCCTCATCTCTAAAATGGAATAAAATCATACTTCAGAAGGTTGCTGCCAGGAACCTGAAATAGGGAAGAATCTGTTCCAGGCCTGGCCCATGGTAAGGGATCATAAGCATTTGTCATCATCCATCTTATACTGCAAGGCAAAGGTATGTGGAAAGTGCTATGGGTCCTTGAGCAGATATGTACAGGCTTCTTAGAGGAGACGGAGTATATGTGTATGTTTGGGGCTGGTACCAGGTGGGAGTTGTGTGGAAGCCAAGATGGAGGGTGGATTAGTAGAAAGAAAGGCCAGAGATGGAAGACCTTTTGTGAGACTGCTCCAGAAGTCCAAGGGACGTAAAGAGGCTGGTACTGGTAGCTGTTCCCAGACTATAATGTCAGGATCACTGGGAAGCAGGTTCCTGGGCCTACCCCAAAGTTCTGATTCAGCTGGTCTATGAAGGTCCAGAAAACAGGTAAGCAAATTTTGGGGGTTGGGGAGGTGGGCAAATGTCTGCTACGTAGGAAAGGGAACAAGTCACAAGCTCATTCATTGGGTGCCAAGCCTGACTGGGCTGGCACCAGCTAGGTAGGACTTCTGGGAGAAGGTGCTTTACTTAGGCCTTGAAGGAGGAAGCATTTTGATCAGGGGAGATGGGAGAGGGCCTTGTAAGTAAAGGAGACAGTATGAGACAACATTTGTAATCAGATGTTTCCCAGGCCAATCTGGGTGCTGGGAAGAAAGGCTATGATGCCTCTGGATGGCCTTGAATGCCACACCGAATGGAGTTTGGAGTTTATTTACGCCAAAGGTTAGAGATGTCTAGAAGGTTTGGGGTATTAGCTGCCATTACTATTGGGGCAGTGCTGAAGAAGGGTATGCAAGGTGGAGCAAGGGAAATGACTATGAGTCTCTTATTATTAAGCCCACTGAGGCCCAGAGCTCACATTTTATTTCTGACTGACCCATGTTGGCAAGGAATGGAAAAGCTGAGGGAGGGTTGTGGAAGGGGCAAGGAGGGAAGCCCATCCACATTTTATGATCTCAGTGGAAAAGGCTGGTGTGAGTAGATTCTTCTGCCAGTGGAGCCACAGAGATGGGCTCCATGAGTCACTGCTCAGTCCTGCAAGCTCAGCCCACAGAGCCTGCTGTGGTCAGCCGCCCCAGGCTGGCTCCAGGCCCAGCCCCTCAATGTTCCCCACTAGGCCTCAGTCTGTCCCTGTTTCTCTACCATCTCTGTACCTTTGCTATCCAGGGTTGTGCATCCTGCAGCTCTCTGCTTCTTCTCTGTTTCCCTTTCAGACTGAGCCTCTGAATCTCCATCTGTGATTGGTTTCCATGCAACTCACAGATGGGAGCCTCAGGAGGGCAGGGGCAATGTGACCAGTCTCAGATACCCCTAGACATTTGTTCTGTGCCAGGCCCAGTGCTGGATAATGAAAATACAGAAGAGGACAACATACAGACTGCTTACAATGCACATTCTATGTGGAATGGGGAAACCAGGGGCTAGCCCTGCCTCTTTCTCAGCATGTCTTTATCCCCCTTACTGATTGCTATGCCCAGAGTGCCAGGGTCAGCTAGGGCCTGTGGCTTGGGCCTCTTCTTTGCCTCTGGCACTGGGAAGGTATGTGTGCCTGCCAGCAGGTCATCCCAGTTATTAGGGATCCTGAGGTGCTATTGGGTGGGAGTGGGCAGTAGAGGGAGAAAGGGGGAGCAGGAGGCAGTGACTCAGTGGGAGCGGCCTTGGAACAGAGCTAGGGAGGGAGCCAAAGTTGGACCCAATGTTCACTGAAGCTAGAGGAGGGAGGGAAAAGAGATCTGACTGGGGACTGTGGATAGAGCAGAACAACTCCAAGGCCAGCCCTGCTCCTTGCTTGGTATATGCCTGGGAGTCTGAACTCTGGGTGCTGAATGGGTGTGGGGAGGATTCTGTGTTTCCCACTGTGCCTGCTGCTGATGTCCAGGTTCATGAAGGAGGCATCTGCCTTAGGGCCAGGGAAGGCATTATGTTCACTACCCTCTCCTCTAAGGGATCAAGGGCCTGGGTATGCTAACAGGGCCTGGTCATGCTGTGGGGTTTGCTGCCTTTTCTGGCCACACAGTTGACCTCCCAACAATCTTCACACAAATTTTGAGGAAACTGTCAGGCCAGGCTCACAAGCCCCAAAGGGACCCAAGCCTCAGAGCTGGGAAATCTCAAGTGTCTTTCATCAGTTCAGTATTCCCTAAGGGTGTAATGAGGGGGTGGAGCAGGGCACAAATGTAGCCCCAGAAAGCAGTATTTGACTTATTGGGTCCTTCCTAGTCCTTCTGGAAATCCCAGGACAAAAGAGTAACTTTCTTGTTTCACAGGTCAGGCACAAAGAGAAGAGAGTCCCTGGAGCTCCTCCCAAAGGTGAGTGGAGAAGCCAGGTCCGGGCTAGGTCCAGGTCCAGGACCCAAACATCAGCACCAGCCTCCTTAGCTGGACTTTTATGGGAAAGGGTTAAAAAGAGGTGCCAAGGAAGCAAGAGGGTGGAGGGTCTTTGGGCCTGATGCATTCTGGCAGGCCTGGGTCAGCTCCCACTCCAGAGGCTGCTCTGTCTCCTCCACCTTGCAGCCCAGAGGGGTATTCCATCCTGTTGCAGGATACCACAACCTCTTTATCTCAATGACAAATTTTTTGTTGTTGTTTTTACGGTACTGAGGATGAAATTCAGGGCCTCCCACATGCCACGCAAGCCCTCCATCACAGAACTACACCGGCAGCCCACACACACTCTCTCTCGGTGTGTGGACCTGGGCACTTGAAGGCAGAAGGGGTCTTAGGTGGAGGGGCCCCACACTCCCAGCCTCCTCGAAGATATCTCTACTGGCTCCCAGTAGCTGCTGTGGGGTTAGGGAGTCTCTTCCTAGGAGCCTCTCGGAAACCCGAATTCACATTTGTCTTCTTTGGACCAGATTTGCTAGGGGAGCTGGGAAGGTCTTCCAGGACCCTGCTGGCTTGCAAGGCGGCGTCCCCTCCGCTACACCCAAGGACTTCCCCCAGGCGCGAGCTGGGGCAGCCGACCCGCAAGCCCCCTCCCCAGCCCCCAGCGGGGCGCCGCTCACTCACGCTTCCGGCGCGTCGGCAGGCAGCGCGGTGGGCTCGGTGGAACGGCCGTTGGACGCCGCCTCGACTCGCGCACTGAGACGCCGGGGGCGGGGCACTCAAGTCCGGGAGCGCCGTCAGACCCGTGGGTAAGGGGCGCTGTGCGGGCCCACGCCTCCGCGCTTTCCCGCCGCCCGGCGGTTTGCCGTCGGGACCTGCAGGGTGGGCTGTGGCTTCGTCCTCCGGCCCCCAGGGGGCGGCGCGGCGCTGCGTCTCCAGTGGCCCTACTTTCCATCCCCGCCGCCAGGAGGCGGCGCCATTGCACGCCGGGCGGCCAGGCTGTTCCCGCCGTCGAGGCTCACGGGTGTTCGAAGGCTCGGCTGCGCGGCTCCCGGGCTTCGCGGTTCCCAGCGGCGCTCCCAGGAACGTGAGTGTAGGTGGCGGACGACTGAGTCGCGCGCCAGTCTCCCGAGTTGGGCTGGCGGGGAGCGTAAGCACGAGGCAGCCTCACGGGTAGTCCTGCAAAGCCTGGTGTGAGGCGAAGTCCGAGGGTGGAGTTGGGTGGGACCTACCAGGCAAAGGCTCATGGGAGCACGACTAGGGCCCTGGTCAGGAAGGAGACCCCTGACTTTCTTTCCCTTTCCCCAGGCCTTCAACTATACAGTAGCAGCAGCACTTCCTGTGTCTGGGCACCTCCTTTGGCCTAGTGCGCTCTGCCTGGCATTGCTCCTGGCACCTCCTTTGGCACCTCCTTTGGCCTAGTGCGCTCTGCCTGCGTTGCTCGTGGACCCTGTGGGACCATCTTCAACACAGTTCCTGGATGAGCCTAGGCCTCTTTTCACACGAGTCGTAGCCCCTGCCCACTTGTCCTGAGCAGGACCACCCTTAGTAGGGGGTGATGGAAAGGTCCCTGGAGGGTGGGGATGAGTCCCCAGACTCCCAGGGGCACGCCACCGACTGGAGGTTTGCTGTATGCAG